ACTTCATCTATTATGTTGAGCAGACGGTATTTGACTCTGCTGAGAGGACTGAAAGAGACCCATAGTGTGGATGCAGACATACTTGTGAATGGTATCCAGCAAAAACCATGGGAGAGTGTACTGATTGGACAGCCCGAGTATCTCATGAGGCTATTGTTAAGATCTACCATGAAATGCTTTCCCTTGAATAGTGTTTTTTCATTTATAAGGATATATCTTTTGCGGGTAAATCAAAATATATTTTAGTAATACAGTATATATAACAAGTATATAAATTAATTTGTCAAATATCTTGTTTAATTATTAACAATTATATAAATATTAACAAATAATATATATATATATATATATATTATTATTTGATATAATATAACAGTTGATATAGCACTTAAAAATTTTATCAAAATTAATAAAAAGTTAATTTATAATATAATTAAAATAAAGAAAATATAGTATTATCTTAATTATTAAATTAATTAACAAAAAAGATTTATTTAAAATTAACAATATAAGAAAAAAAACTTTTGAATTAATTAATTTATAATAAGTTATTTATATTAAATAGACTTATACTATAAAAACTTTAATTATATAAAACATATAATAAATATAAAGTCTATAACCTAAAATTTAAAACAAAAACTAATCTTTTTATATATTTTATATTAAAAAAGTTTATTAAATTATATAATTTAAAATTTAATAACTATTTATAAAATTATTTAAAGTTTTAGAAAGTACTTTAAAAAGTAAATATAAAAATAAAAATATTATATTATAGTAAAAATTAATTAAATTTTAAATTTATATTAAAAACAAAAAAACTTTAAAACAGTTTGAATATAAAAGATTTGGATTATATTAATCAATATTATCAATAAATATAATTTCAATTTCAATTTTAAAGATTTTAGTTTAAGATATCAAGAAGAAACAAATATTTTCAAAAACCAATTATTAAGTAATTAAATTAAAAAAGAAAAAAAATATATTTAGTTTAGAAATATATATCAATAAATAATTAATTTAAGAATTAACTATAAATCTATAAAAAATGATTAGTGTTAAATTAAAAATTTAATTTAAATTTATAATGTATGATTTATAAAAATGTTTTGCAGATTATATCTCTATCAAATAAAATAAAATTTAACTTTAACTTATAGATATTATTTCTATAAATCTTATTTAGAAACTTGATATTGTAAACAAGTAAGCTGAATTAAGAATATTTATAAACAATTTTTATTGTATCAATTTATTTTAATTTAATAAACGAATAAATGGTTAAAGAAAAAAAATAATTTATAATTCTACATAACAATTTTTAAATTAAATATAAAATCCAAGTACTATTATTTATATATATACGTATATATATTTTTAATAATTAATCGATTATAAATAAATTTAATAAATATATCTTTATTGAAATTGTTTATTTTACAATAGTATTAATTTAAATATATTATAATTTTGTTCTTATATTATAATATAATACCAACAATATAAAAACGTAGTTAAAATTGTAATGACCATTCTATAGTAATTTTTATACAGAAAAAAATTTTTTTGATGAAATCACAATAAGTAATATACGAATATTTCTTTTTTTGAAAAAAACTAATAAATAGATAAACCAACATTATTGTCATTATTAAAATATTATTTTTATTTGAATTTATAAAAAATTCGATAAATATATGTATATTTTAAAAACATATTCATTAATAATAAATATACAGTAGTTTATTATATTCTTACGAATACGATAGATCGTGTAATAATATACCGTTACTGTATACAGTATACTCTAATAAATTAAGTACAGTACCGTAGTAGAATATTTAGGGTCACAAAGTTATTCTAAACTATATAAGGATCACGACTTCACGACTTCACGATTTAACCCCAAATCGGAAATTATGGATCGTGTGAAACGCTTGTGGTACATTTACATCTCTGATATTCCTCGAAAAAAATTTTATGACTTCTTTATCGCCACTTCAAAAAGCAAGATTTGCCACGGCGTCAAGACTATTAGCCTGTGCTATAAACGAAGGCCTTGTTAAAGCTTTATACAAGCCAAATACAAACTTAAATGCATTAACGGACAAAAAGCTGATATCTGGGTTCATCCTTGTTCTTCCTGAAGGGGATCAAGATTTAACTACTAATGATGAAATTGTTATCATTCCTATGATACATAAACCAATTATCGACGAAAAATATGAAAGTAATAATCGAACCTCCGTAAAAATTGAATTTGTAGATCCCTGGGACATGTCAGCGCCTATTTGCAAAATTGGTTATCATGATTTCCATTTATCCGGAAACAGCGAATTAGGTCAAGAAATTGAACCATCTTATTTTATGAGGATGTTAGGAATCTGGAGAAATTTGGATAGAGAAAATGTCAAACTAATATGCGCGGAACTAGACAGTTCGGTTAAATACCAAGGTGGCAATATATACCATCAATGTTTTGCAAATGGCCATTCCATAGACGAATTATATATTTACTTTTTTTCAATTCATTGAATGTGACAGAGTATACGTATAAACTCCCGTGCCCGACACCTTCTCTACTCTCATCAAGTATTGAATGGGAGCAAAGTTTGATCGAAGGTCATGCCTTACATCCGGTATGGCACTTGTTCAGTATCAGATTAACAGTTTAATAGAATTACTAATGAAAATATTAAAGATGCACAAGGCACGATATGCTATATCACCAATTCCCGAAATATTGCCTGACTCTTATGACTTTCAAAAACCGTTAATTCGATTCGTCGAGGTACCACGTGAAAAGGTTATTTTACGTGGCCTTTGGGCGGAAAATGTGAACATTCTAATCGATTCGATGTCGCGGAAGCCTACTTGTTCACCAGATACGATTCTCTTCCCAGTGCACGAGCTACAATTACCAAATATCTTGGAAAAATTCCCTTACGTCAAAGTTTTACCTTCTGAGTACTCAATCCAAGCTAGTAGTCAAGCATCTCTACGAACTATTGTGATTCCAACAATTCCCGAAATTTCAATTAAACTTCCCTTGGGTATTAAGGTTTCTTCGGCTTTACGTACAATTACACCATGGACAACCTATATCGCTACTGGGCTTGCTCCAATATTAGAAAAGCTTGATATTGATAGAAACGTTTTGAAAATTGCAAATGAAGTTGCAAGTGGTGTTTCCGTGGAGTCAAATTATGATATAGCCAAACATTTAAGCTGCATCTTCCGTAGAGATTTCAATGATCGCAGCGCTCCCCAGGAAAAGACAATAATTTGCGCAGCATTGTTGGAAAGAGACTATGATGGAATAAGTTTTGTTCAGAAAGTGTGGAGATTGGACACGGAAGATAAAAGTTGCAAGTTTTTGGAGAGGTGATCATAATTATAATTCAAAACTTCTCGATTTTTTCTATCTACCTGACATTTTTACTCCTATTATAGATATTCCGAACTTTTACTTCGTGCATTTTTACCTCCAACCTTGACCAACGGGTTTGCATTCGAGGCTCATGCGCAGAATGTTCTTGCACGCTTCGATTCAACTGGAGAGCACCTTATTGGATTCGTAGTTCGAGATTTTGGAGGCATTAGACATCATCAGGAAACATTGTTTGCAAGCACCGGACAGTACGCTGATGTCCTGAAAGGCAATGCAACAGAAGCCAAAGATTTGCTTGAGGTAGATTGTGATTTTATTTACCATTCTTTTAATACTTTAATTTGTTTTCCAAATCTTGCACTGTCAGGTTTATAAACGCTTTTATCACACGGTGATCCTGTGTCATTTGCATCGTCTCGTTCGAGCACTTAAACTTCATCATTCTGGAGTTGGCTGGAAAATTATTCGACGACATCTTTCAGAAATGATTCCGCATGGTCATGCACTAAAGAAATTATTATTGGAAGAAGTCAAACTTCCAATAAAATGTTTCCTTCGAATGAAAATGGATGGATTGTATCGAGATGTGAGTACATATTTTTTGGTAGAAATAGTTGATTTTAAAAATTTCTTGGTTTCTCCCTTATCGCTAATTGGGTTTTGCATACAACAATCGATGGTTTGATATTGTAGTACATTTATCGAGATGTTCCAAACATTATATTGTATAAAGGCGAAGATGAAAGTGCGGCAAAATAGACAAACATGTAACCTCTAGAAATTAAAATAAACATAGTCGCTAAATCCAATAAATAAAATTTAGGACCGGCATTTTCTTTTCACCAAAGGAAAACAATGTTTTTTACAGTATATAATATATATATGCATATGTCTGAAGGAGGCGGGAAGGAAACTATAAAGCAATTTTCTAACATGATCACTAGGCAATACCATCCACGAAGCGAAATAACATTTTCCAGGAAAGGAATTTATAGATGGAAGCCATTTACTGAATTTGAACACGACCAGTGGCTTTAGAAGTGCCACGAGGAATCTAAATTGAAACAAGTACAAAATGAAAACCACAAATACTATATAACATTGATAAAAGGGAATATGAATATATAAATATGCTTTACCTTGATTTCGAGCAAACCATCCAGATATTTTGCCTCAATACTTTCACGATCTAATGACATATCTATTATTGCGAAAAAATTTTTACGTATACATTAATTTGTATTAAAATAAAAAGACCGATGAAGTAAGACAAAATAATATTTTCCTTTAGGCAGGAACACGTGCTAATTTAACAAAATTGTTAATATTCATCCGATCAATTTAAATAACGGATGTCTTTCGAATTACAATCATTACCTTTCGGAACTTTCCAATCTGGCGTTCCCTAACACGTGAGGTTGCAGCTTCATAGGAGGGACCCCTTCTCCTTTCACCAGATATAACGATTTCGCGATCTCTTAAATCAACGGAAATTTCTTCTTTAGGAACGCCCTAATTATCGTCGAATGGTTAATTTATCTGATGATGCTTATTTTTGGAACCAAAGATACTTACAGGTAAATCAACATGAATAAATATCGCCTTATATAATGTCATTGAATAAAAAACTATGATTAGTGCACTCTGAGTGAAAAGAGTAAACATTTTTATAAATCTACCTCATTAGTTTCATAGACATCAGTGGACGGACGCCAAACAACGTCTCCTAAAAATGGTTTAATCTTTAGAACATAGAATAAAATGGTAAAATAATAAATTCATTTAATTCACCTTCACGTTCGGTCATCACGCGACTTCCAACATGACGGGGGATACGTTCTTGAATGGGAATTCTATTTCCCACGTCTCTTCCACGTCCATAATAATCTCCATAGCGGTCTAAATCTGTTGCGCGACCAGGATCATAATCTCCATAATCATTGAAAAAGAGATCATTAAAAGGATCACTAAAGAAAGGATCATTGGTTAAACGCGGAGAGAAAGTCATGATTTTTTCGTTAAAGAAAGAAAATCTGGTTCAGTGTTTTGCCGTTTTTTGTAACTTTTTATGTTAGCCGGTCAATGGCAAAATTCAATTCAATAAGCTTCAGCAATGCTGTCATATTTGACGTCATACTTGCAAAATCAGTTTTGATGTAACTTTTCGTAAACTCACGGGTTTTATATCATTCTGATGTGGTTGACACGTTTGTATTAATGTTCAAATAATATATCATATATACAATGAATTCAATTCACAAAAGGTAATGTCTCATTTATAAATTTTTAAAATATTTGTTACATGAAATTGCATTTATTTAAAATTCATGTTTTTTCAAGAAATATCTTATAATTGAAAATTTTAATATTTACAAATAGTGATTTTTTTCTAATTATGGATTTATTATTAAATCGCTTGATATAATTGGAATTTCATTATGGAGTACATAAATTTATAATAAATATTATATATCTAATGATTTTTCTATGCAACTATTTACAGGGTGATTCATAATTTTTTGGAATTTTTTTGATTTTATATTTTATCTTATAATTAAATAAAAAAATTATTAAAATTTTATAAAATTTTATTTAAATATATT